TTACACACCTAGCACATACGTAAACAAGAAACATTAAAGTATTCAACTTTTCAGAACTGCAGAGTCAAAGTCTGCAATACATCTACCTCCGAGCAGCTGATACCACAGCGTCTTACATTGTAAACTCTCACACTGAAATGGCATCAATACAATTTGCAGATGCCATTCTGACTATAATTCAAATCTGAAGGGTGAGTGGGAGGACTCCTCTACCATAACAGTATTAAACCCCACCCCAAAAACAAAACAAAACAAAACAAAACAAAACAAAAACAACCTGAGGGCACTCTGAACACCTCCCTTACGAAGAAAAGGAAAGAGCTGCACTTCATATTCTTTGACTGGCAGCTCTAACTTGTTCTCAGGAACAGCAAAAACTTGAAGAAAGGGGAATTTCCCTTTGCAAGGCAAAACTGTGCACATGAGCTCTAACCTATTTTTACCTGCAAAGATTAAAAAAAAGACACACCTATTCTTCTGGGTTCTGCAGTCACAGCCCAAACATTATCTGTGTGTCACTTGTCTGCTAGGGAAAATTGTTATACACCTTGGCCATAAGTGAGGTTTCATCTGATCTCCTGTAATTGTCTTTGCAAACATTAAGGTTCATCTCTACCCAATTAACTTCCTTAAAGAAAGATTTCAAGGAGTCACCTTCACAAATGTTTAATATTAAAGGGTTATGGTTACAAAATGCCCGATTTGGCTATATTAAATGCTTGTTTTAGGGTTGCCATGTTCAATGGCTAGCAAGCCAAGGCATGCTGGCTCAACACAGTAATCTTCCAATATACATTTTACCAAACTTCTGTTAGTCACCAGAATCAGTGTGGTAGAACCAGAAAGCAAGGCAAATAATTAAATCAAATCATAATTTTCTATCACACACAAAATATTTCTGGTGTTTCCTAGTCCGAGATAACTTCTTCCATCGTGGAAGGAAGTGAAAGAACATTCTGCATTTAAAAAAGACAAGTTTTCAGAATCATAATGTTTGAGCTGTGGTTTAATTGAAGTAGTACATGATCTTAAAAACATACAGTGTGATCATCCTTTAGAGCATATTAAAGAAAAGACAACTAATTTAGAGTTTACAGAGGTTGCTTCATTCAAAAAAAAAAAGTATCTCCTAAAAAAATGCTAGTTCTTGCCAATGTCTGGCTTTTTCGATGCTGTGTCTGCTACCGCATCATCCATGAACGCTACCATGAGACTACTTCTGCAAAATGATCAGCTGGCCTCAACCACGAGTTTTACTGTCGTGTCCCCTGTGTAAATTGTTCTTTCAGATTCTGAGCATCTAGATGTCTGTTTTTAAACTAGTGGTGTCACTCTCGATATTACCTTCCTCTCCTTGCATTTAAAAGATCACCAACTTTGGCATTTGACGTGATTAGAACCAATCTAAAGAGGTGATTATTTTTTAATTCCACCACCTGTCCCATCTTTGGTTGCATATAAAATGAAGAGGTGGAAAGTTTAGAAGCTTAGTGTTGCTGTTCAGAGCTCTCAGCAAACAGTGTTCCTCGGGGGAAGGGGAAATTTCCTAATGCCTCATTGCCCAAAAAGCAAAATATAAAACATACGAATAGTCTGCCCTGTAACAGATATCACCTCGTTTATTATGCAGTGATTCTTCTCACAGGCTTTCAAGAAAGTCCTACTGACACCCAGGTGGCAAACTACTGAAAGTTCCTCAAAGCAGGCACAAACATGTTCTGATATGGAAACAGCTGTGTAAGAGATGTTACAGAAACAGCTGTGACATGCCGAAAATTATATCAATGGAAACATTCCCACTCTGCACTAAGCAATACTGATCCATTAAGTTCCTTTTTCCCCCTCCCCCACCCCCAAACCCTTCCATGCTTCAATAACCAACAACAAGTTTTACCTAGAAGTAGACTCAGGAAACAACAGAGTTCCTGTGCTCTTGTCCAGTAGTCAGCTTTGATAAATATTAGTGAATTACAGTATCTACCATTATTTTTATCCAGAGATACAAAACGCAAGCACCGTAGAGCATACTGGCCTTAAGAGTACGTTACATTACGCCTCCCTGATGATCTCCACAGCTTAAAAATGCTTTTTGGGGCCACACTGAAACACTGATGTCTAAAACTAACTTGCAATAGTAAGAACATTAAACATGAATAAAACCTTGTAAGCATGGATGCATGATGAGCATTAACCATCCACATAACAGCAGAGCTGAGACTATTTCAGGAAAAAAATCTGAATGGTGCCTTTGTCTGGCCCAGTACCCGTTAAACCATCCAGTGGATGATGATGTCCGATGTAGCGTCTCTGCCATTAGAAAGACTGGCTATAAAAATCAAGGGTCCCCATAGCAAGAAAACAGGATACATAGACATAGGCCCCTCAGACAGCATTTGACCTGGATAGTCAGAGTGGGATAAAAAGAATTTAGTCTGGGTCAGAATAAACAAATGCTGACGGTATCCCACCACCTGATTCTATAGGTAAAGGCTCACATGTGAGAACAAACATGAAATGCTTAGACAAATTCACCATTTCATTTGGTAGGCGTCTGTGATCAACACAGCTATGTGCCTTGTTTTGCTAGCAAAGTGTCACTGCTAGAAGTCATCCCCTTTCACAGACATGTAAGAATGAAGCTGGCATTTCCTTTGACAGAGAGCTTGTACTCAGGCACTAGTCAGGGCATTAGTTGCCAGTCAGAAAGAAGGAAACATTAAAAAAAAAAATAAAGCCCCACACGCTCAGGATACAAGTGGTTCTTGTCAAGTAGTCACTTCTATAGATAAGCCAGTGCTTTCATTTAGGGTAATTGAGTAAGGAAATAGTTATTTTACTACTGGAAATCTCTGAATGCACTATCTGTAACTGGAAAGGTATTTCAGTCGGTTGCCAGAATAATATCAAGTCCAATCCACAGGTATCTGTGGAGCAGAATATGGAATGTACGAACTAGAGCTGGAAAAAAAAAAATACAACATATCTGATCTTGACATCTGTGATTATGAATGAATTAAAATTTACTCCTTTCACATGAGGATTCAAAAATGTTCTGGCGTAACTAACATTGCCAGCAATGAATGCGCCAAAAATGCCAGCATCAATGATTTAAATAAAACCATAATAAAGCAATCATTACACTTTTTCAAAAGCACCTCAATGACTCAGGAACCCAAGTTCAATGTTCAGAAAAGACACAGACACTTAGGAACCTGAATCTCTTTTAAAACAGAAAGTAAAAAGCTTTTAGATATTTCACCCAGAGACACTGTATCTAGCTATCACCATCCACAACAGGAAAGCTTTTTTTTTTTTTTTTTTTTTTAAATCCGC